ATGGTGAAGGTGCTTCATTCCATGGTTGTCTCAATCATTTCCCCTTCCGAGCACGGCACTCATTGTCGTGCATCAAAGCAAGCCTAGCGAAGCTTTGATGTCAGCTTTGATGTCAGCTCAACTGACTTGAGCGCATCATGGCCGCTATGTCATAGCTACATCCATGACCGGCCATAAACTATGTCTCATCTTGTCTCATCACTCCTCATCACTGCTTGTGATACGACATCCGTAGCCAAGAATGTGTTGTTCACCCCCCCAGTCTCAATTTCCAGAAGAACACCATGAGAGTATCCTACATTTGGCCAAGCGTGACGACAAAATAAAAGGTGTTTGATATGCAAATGCTTAACAAGATTTGCAAAGGACAGGGTAATCTTCCAAAGATCCTGGTACACCCCCTCCGGCTGCGCTTGGTCACACGAACAATCCGCTTGGTCTCATTTCGATGGTCGCTCCGGGGCCTCGTCGAGGCAGCAAAGGCCCGTGGATGTCGAAAGACACAACTTCAGCCTGTCGCCAAAGAAGCCTCTCATGCTGGACCGTCGCCATGAGTAGAAAGTAGATGAAAGTAGAGTCGTAGAGCTCACGTCGGTGAATCCGAGATGTTCTGAGGTCCTCCAGATACATATAAGGAACCATGCAGATGTTTTTGGGTCCACGAGAGTTCGGGCGAGTGCGGCCCAGACAGACCGCGGAGGGCGGTGGAAAATGACGGCGGCCGCTTTTTTGATGCACAGTGGTCTCAGATTTGATGCACGAACCAAGAACGCCGATAACCAATAGAGTATGATGAAATCGTACAAGCTTATCTTGCAGATTTGGAGTTCAGCCATATAGAATTCAACTTTTTCCTCAGCCTCAGAAAACTGGTTTTGGAGTTTGGGTTCCAACTTACTTGTAGCTTGTGGCTTTCATGTTCGAGAGATTTTCTGCTGGACGAAGAGGTAGGCTGCGAGCTAAGTCATGTTTTTTTTTGGGAAAGGAAAAGGACATGGAGAGAACGAGTGCAGCATGTACTAACCTGATGCCAGCGTTTGTTTCCTGGATTCTAGACTCAATAATTCAATAGCTTTGCCAATAGGAGAATGGGGAACAGGTGCTTATGAGTCACCCTTGAAGATTGGAATTATATAAATGGTGGCCCAGGTCTGACCGGTGATCGCCATGAACATTGAGAAGGTCAAGCCCCGTCTTTTCCCGGTTCTTCAACATACCCTGGAGGAGCATACCCTGGAGATGGTGAAGAGGTCTTTATATCATTTTATATCCAATTGTTTTTTCAACTAGCTGTCAGGCTGGCATGCAAAGTTACACCGCAGGTACTCGTTCGTCGAATTGCAAGAGACGGAGGACCTGCTGATGAGCAGGACCGCCACGATCAGGGTTATCGAGATGGGAGTTATGTATGAGAATGTGCAATGAAAGGGCCATCAGTTGAACCAAATTGATGGTGGACAAAGGGCGCTCAGTCTTCTCATCATGGTAAGCTTGTACCTCAAATAGTATCTGGGCAGATAGGACATCTGACAGCCAGCCACCGATGGATAGTGAGAGCGAGAGAGAGGGAGAGAGTTAGACCCAGCAATGTCAACCCCGAAGAAGACACCACATGTTGGCAAGCATGGGACCTTTATGTTAGCCTTCCCTTTTGGGAACATATCATCCAATATGTGCTTTCGCCATAGCCATGAGGCCAGAGCATCAACGCTGCGATGCGCTCAAAAAGTTCAGACGCTGAGTGTCTTTGGAGCAATTACCACATGACTGGCTGCATCCAACTGCACACCTCCGTTTGAAAGTTCTTTGGGGTGGGTGCGATGGAAGTTCCATGGCCTTTTCAGGAGGTTTTTGCCGTATAAATTCTGTGGCCATAATTTCTGGGGTGCATGTTTCACTTTCAAAAATATGTATAATTCTATTCTCTATGTAATATCTGAATCACCCATACCAAAAGTCTTAGGGCCAGCTACAGTGTGCAATGTTATGCAGCTGGAGATTCAGCAAGCAGGAGCAAAAGGATACAATGGCCAGCCATCAAATACTCCATAGGCAGCGTAGGACAAAGCAGATGAAGACCAGGAGCTTGGAGTGTTTTTTCCCCACCTGTCAGGTGAGGGTTGTTAGATTTTATGTCAGCGCCCATCTCCTCCTCCTCCACCTCCTTCTTCTCCTCCTCGTCCTCCGCCGGACCTTAACCACAACCATGCGCCCAGTGTTCCCCGCCGGACCTCGACCACGACCATCCGCGCCCAGTGTTCCCCGCCAGACCTCAACACACAATTACAAACAGAACAACAAACACGACAACAAACACACAACCACAAACACAACAACAAACACACAACCACAAACACAACCACAAACATAACAACAAACACACAACCACAAACACACACCCACAAACACAACCACAAACATAACAACAAACACAACAACAAACACACAACCACAAACACACAACCACAAACACAACCACAAACACGCAACCACAAACACACAACCACAACTACAAACACACAATCACAACCACTACCAGTACCACAAACACAATCACAAACACACAGCCACAAACACAACTACAAACACAATCACAAACACACAGCCACAAACACAACCGCAAACACAGCCACAAACATACAATCACAAACACACAGCCACAAACACACAATCACAACCACAACCACAACCACAACACAGCACACAACCACAACCACAACATACAACCACAGCACACAACCCGAGGACCCACAAGCAAAATCGAGAACTACAATACTCACGACCATGGCAACATGTTCCTCACTATCGCATCAAGACAAATGATTGAAATGTCATGGTGGGGATCACTCGAAGTAACGTAATATGTTTAAATGTATTTTTTGCTTGCACACAACACCAATACTAATAAAACAGAGCACTCCCAGATCCAATGCTCGTATGGAGAGGGTGGCAGATCAGTGAAGTATTGTGTGAACCACTTAATCGGTGTCAACTGTCACGGTCGAGGATATACATATACGATCATACATGCCAAGTCTAGAGTATATAGATTCGACGCAGCAGTTGATTCAATATTCGTAACATTCTCTGACATTCTCAAGCCTTTTTGAAAGTCACACTTTCCAACTGTGTGCTGTAAAGATTGCCCATTATTGCTGAAAACCTCAACAGCCTTTTGTACAGAACACCCCAGGGTGCACTTTCCCATGAGTGAGGTGCCACCAGGTTTGGTCAGTGAACTCCTTCGGGTTTTCTTTCTTAGTGAAGTGGGACCACCATGCCCAAATCGCTTTCCTGTGCAAATCGCCGGGTACTGTAGAAGTTCCCCGGCCCGGCCAAGGGTTCGTGGTAAACTTGAGGGATGTTTACACTGCACTGCTGCACCCGAGCGAGTATTGTCTATTTTCCCTTTCTGCAGCTGTGCAGCCTCAAGCTGGGCCAGTGGGACACCTGAGGCGCGCGCTGGACGTACGTGGTGGGTGAAACACCTCAGCGGTGGGGAGCAAGCCCTGGCAGAGTGGACCACAGATCTGTGGCCTCGATCACTGGTGTCATTGTGTGTCCCGAAATGGTTTGGGAGGAGTGTGGGTTTAGTTGAGAACTGTCACCAAGGAAGTTCCAAAGTCTTGAGATTCGTGACTTTTTTCTTTGTGCGACCTGGTAGGACCTGGACCCTACTTGGTTATAAAGGGGAAGGTGTTTGTTCCCCTTCGGTCCCCAAGTCTTCAGGTCCACTCCGTTGCTTTGGTCCAACACCGAAGCGATACGACACCCGGGACCCGGGGATGGCCATTGCACGTGGCTGTGGGTGAAGTCGCCCTCGGAAAGGTATGTGGAGGCAGATGCAGATGCAGAGTGTTTGCTACCATGATATGGTAGGTGCAGCCTACCATGATATACACTACTGCTTGAACTGAAAACGTCTACTGCTAGCAGACACTGTCAGACACTGCTATCATCATGCAGGCTCGGAAAGGTATGTGGAGGCTGTTGAATGAACATGATTCTTCACAGCCTGCAGTTCATCGCGGGGCTATCAGACATACCACTTGCCACGTTGACATGTCAACGGTGCCAAGTCTACCAAGTTTGCGATGAAGGCCCACAGTCGCATATGTAATGACGCTATTAGACAAGTCCAATGTGTTCTCTTGGAAGGGCAATCATGCTGCTTTTGGATCAAGAACAATCGCACGTGGATGATGGGACGTCATGAAAGGACTGGGATTCTGGGCGGATGGTGCCGCCCCTTTTGGGTCCTCAACGATTTGGGCCAAAACGGGAGGATCTTTGCAGACTGAACGGGATTTGTCCAAAACCATCCCAGAGACTTTGGAGGCACCGATTTGCCAAACACCTCTATATAGGCCTCGAGGCACCACTAGGTTCAGCTCACCCCATGGGGAACAAACATAAGAACTGCAAAAAGAAAAGCACCACATGGAGAGGTTGAGAGGATGGGACGTGATGGTCGCATGAGTTCGCATGTTCGCCTTGTAAATACTGTAATGTTTACACCAAGTGGTTGGGAAGATATGATTTTTTTTTCGCAACAATGCAAGTATAGTCTGTTTTGCTTAGCCATGCAAGATTCCCCGGGATGTTCTTGGGTTCTTTTTTAGTGCCTTGTCACAGCCGTGTTTGGCTCTTACCCGCTGGCCCTTTCTGTGTCCAAGAGTCCAAGATTGGGCATGTTCACTCCTACAGAACCCTAGGAATTCTTGCACGCACAAATCCTGCGGGACCTCGATGGACAAATCCTTCGACCTTCAAAGGTCAACCGCATGACGCATTGCAACCACGCACCATTTGTGTCCTGTTTTCTAGATTCAATCCGACTTCTTGCTTTCGTTTCGTTTTCCGGCCACAGCAGTTCCAAAGGGGTGGATGGACGTTAGGTCCAGGTGCCCATGATCCACTCACTTACGAACTCAACACCACCCCACCAATGGACCAGAACTTGAAACCATGTCAAGCTGACCAATCCAATCCCCACCACCATGCTCTCTCGCCAGTGTTTCGGCCCAACGTCCTGGTGCCGTTGTCCCGCACCGGAGCACGGTGGACCCCCGGTGGGAGCCGTCCCAGCGGAGCCACTGAGCGCCATGGATAAGGCAGCCGGGGTATGGGGATAAAGACGGAGGTGAAAAACATGGGTAGTGGATGGTAGTAGTGGGAATTGTTCTTCGAGCGCATGCAGCCAGATGAGTCAAGCTTCCATGGACACTTGTGACGGTTCGTTTGGTTGCTTTCTTGGAAACTGGGCGAAGCCGCCAGGAAACCTACACGCACTGGTTGGACGCATCCTGGGAGGACTTTCGGCACCCTGGTTTAGATCGTCGTGCGGCCAGCGGTGATAGGGGGAGCATTGCTGTATCGGTCAGAGTCAGTGGAGTTCTCCCAAAGCTAGAGAACTCCTGCGGCTGCTTGGCTCAGTGCTGGATGTATATGGATGTTTTGGGAATTCGGGATGGTTGAACATGGTGCAACGTTTTATAGCGTTTTATCAGGTATATACTATATGATCATTCCTTTTATCGCATGATTTGAGTGTCACAATGTGCTTGCTTTGAGAGGCAATTGTGCCCAGTGGCACGTGAGGAGTTGGTCGTCGGCCGACCGGCGCACTTTCGGGGGCGACGTCGGTGGAGTGAAGAAGCTTCTTCATGACGAGTCAAGCAGGTAGACTCGGTAGACATCCGGGACTTGGCCCGTGGATATGGTTTTTTTGTGTCTCCCAATGTCTCCCAGAGTTGCTGAGATAGATGGAGTAGATGAGTGGATGTGTGAAAACCGACGGTATTTCAGGGCTGTGAGGTTTGCACACATCAATTGTCTATCCGCCCCATTGGGAACTGAAGAATCCTTCTTTCATTTTCTTTGAGTTTCAGCATCCGAGGCGGCAGTTGCTGCAAGCGTATCCTGAGAATCCTGTGACCCAGCTGTGCAGAGTTAAAGTGCCGATAAACATTGCAGTGAGCAGAACCGAATAGGAGAGGTACAATACATATTAATATATATATATATTTATTACCTATATACATATTTATTATATATATATATTTATATACTCTAGATTACTAGATGTTTGTTTCTTATCAGGATGGATTCATTTACGGTTCTTAGACTAGAGGGTGCAGTTTGGTGGTGTGAGATTTAGACAAGTCAGTTGAAGTGACAAAGCTTTCCAGACAACTCCTATGTCATCCTCCTATACATCGTATGTGGCAACTCAGCTGCTGGTTGATGACTTGCCCAGCTTATTATATATATATATTCCTATGTCATTACTGGTAGCAATCAACATGCATACACATGATTCTGTGCTTGGTAAGAATGCCCACGATCCACTCACTTCGTGCTGTAAGCTTCAGAACCTGCAAGGCTCTGGGAATGTGTCACATTGAGATGAGGCTGCCATGGGCGTCAGCTCAAAGCGCACCAATAGAACATCCTCTTCCAAAATGACCTCGTCCTCCAGACTGTCTTCGCACAGTGATGATGGAGAAGCTGGGCTCCAAACGGTACAGGTTTGCTGAAGCTCGAGTGAACCGAAAAAAAACACCGGACGGCCGAAAACACAAAACATGTGGTGAAAAGAGTGTTCTCCCAGGGTCCGAGACCTTTGGCATTTTTGCACTTGTGAAGAGGCTGGGCAGTAGAGTGTCCAGGTGAAGCCAAGGATTCCCCCAAGGAACGTTGCACATTGACCTTGAGCAGCTTCCTACTTTGATACTTCCGACCATTTGCAGGGCACCTTAAGTGCACGTCACAGAACGGGGCAATCGAATAGGCATGTCGATCTCTCTCTCACGACTCGAGGAGAAGCCACCAGCCGTGTCCGCGTCGAGTCGAAAAACGGAGAAGGAAAAAACCGACAGCACCTGCCGGGAGCCACCAGCCGTAGCGATTCTGACCTCGACACGGACAAGCAATGCGTGACTGACACTGTCAGACGCAGGAACATAGTGCAGACATGTCGTGGCATGTTTGAAACATGGTTCCACCAGGCCAGTCATAGTAGAGACATCCCCGTGGGCCTTGCCCCTTGGTGTCACTTGCATGCAATTTTGCAACCATATTGTTTGTGCAACCGCATTTGTATACTATCCGGTGAGGAGTTTTGCCATCGTGTGTTCACTTTCTTTTTAGATGCGGGTGTGCTGGTGGTGAGGAACCGGCAGGATGTGCACTCTTCAAAATGCCAGTGGCGCCCCTTGGCCTTCCGGAAGGAGGGGCTGTTTTGGAGAGCTCGTTGTTGGCAAGTGTGGGGTCCACATGGTATTTCTCCGGGAACCCATGGAAAACCGGAAGAGCTGACGCGACGGGTGCAGAATTGGGATTCCGAAGTTACCAAAGTTATATACGCCCGTTTTCGCCCAAGCACACCAGCTATGCACCTGTGAACCTACAGCCTGGTGTCGTTTCAGGGGTCAACTTCCCACAACTCTTTGAAGGGAAACAATAATAAAAACATACAGTATAAAAACCGTGAATTGTGAAAAGAGTCGAAGGTCACAGGATCAGGCATGAAAGGGTGTGGCTGGGGCCTCCACGGCATTTGTGTGAAATCATTGGCTGGACAGACAAGGCCATACTGCCTATATAAGATTGCATAGAAAAGGGGCGAAACAAAATCAACGAGGCAAACAGATTGGAGTCAATCACTCAATCTAAGAAACATTTTCAGGCAACAGGAATGTGATGTTTGCCATCGTTGCTGGCTTCTTCCTTATGATAGTACAGGTATGGGAGCCAAGCATGCCTTTGTTTGCCACTCACGGTGTTTTTTTGGGGGGCGCTCACGCGGCACGCGAGAGGTGGAGGTGACAGGCGTGCGTCTACTGGTGTCATTTCTGACAGACCGGGCGTGCGTCCCCAGCCCAATTCTATGTTCATCCTGGAAGGTCCTGGATTTGGTTCAGAACAGGTGCCCAATGTTGATGGCGAACCCGGGTTCATGGCAAAAAGTGGACAACTACTGGTTGGAAGTATTTACACAGTATCAGAGCATGTGCCAAGACATGGCCCTGAAGCAATGTGTGCTTGCCCGTTGCTTTGGAACAACACCACCATTCACCATGCACCGAGGAAGTCCGAGACTGATCTGACAGGTGATATGCCGGATGAGTTGATGCTTGGCGGCAGAGGAGCTTGAGGTTCGATTTCGGCAGATGTTCAGTTGCCAAAACTTAAGTGTGAAAAGAGCATTGAAGTGGAATCATCATCCCTACTCGGATTGGCTACTGATTGTCAGTGTGTTCTCTCAGCTATGTGTCAAAACATGTGTTTCCCAGTTGCAGCTTCGGAAATCCATGCTTAGGGGATTCATATAAAACTGGTCATGTATGGGGTCAATTCGGTGTTCACTCTGCAGACGTTCACTCGATGCTTACAGAACTGGCTGCCTTCTAAGGGACGATGAGACACCAAAAGACGCCAAGATGCCGCTCGCCATAAGACACTCCCATAACTGGCTGCTTCTTTGGTGGCCAGTAGGCGACAAGGTGTGTTTTTTTGCTTTGACCGTTTGACCCAGAAACTGCGCTGCCTGGCGTTTTTCGTGACGTGGTCCGCGTAGTTCCGGTTGGCCAGCCAGGCCGTTTAGCGATAATGAGAAGAGGTGCCCATAATGGCAAGGTAATGAGATGATAGGCCTGGCTGGACTCTTCAGCTCGTTGATCCTTCTTTTTTGGATCCGGCCCGGCCGGCCCGGGGTGTCAGGGAAACTCAGGGGGATTGGCATCGACCGTCAGGATGATTGAAATGGTCTCCGATGTGCCGGAGGTTGGCGGCAAGCAGAGTGAGCAGGGTGAAATGCAGCAAGGCAGAAAACAGTGATTGGTGAAGGAGGAGTTGCTGGTGCACATCCAGCAGGGGTTGATGTATCAGTGACGGGATGCACCACAACTACACTGGGAACTATGTCACACTCCATCTTTCCTTTTTTCCCTGCGGGCAACATCAGCAAACCGCATCACTCACTGTTAATCAATGTTAATCGACCCCAGTCACTAATTAGGTGTACTTCGGTGCTCGATTGAGAAAGTTGGATTAGGATCGTTGACCACTTCTTGTGCATTTTCCATTGGTACATGAAAAATTGCTTTTCTTGCACATGAAGCTGCGCACTCGAGCTTACTTTCTTGTCACGAAAGCCAGTGTGCTAGCTGAGTTATTTTTTGCTTTAGTATATAATTGTATTGGGATGAGCTTTGTGCCCTAGAGTTTGATATTTCACGATAAGGGTCCCCCTGGGGGATTAACTCGCAGAGAGTATATATCCGGTTGTGAAAACTGACTTCAGATGATGCTATATATCATCCTTGACCCAACGCCACCCCAAGTATTGAAATAAAGGTGTCCGTCAGAGGTCTTTTTTGCGCAGTTTAGGTTTTCCGGACACTTGCTTCAAGACAACGATACACAGACACAAAAACTCCACAGTGTTGATTTGCTGCTGCTGCTGCTGCGGCGATGTACTCTAAAATGTTACCATATGATCGCACCTTTTTGCGCCTCATGTAGGCTCCTTAGACATGAAATCCCAAAACTTCAAATCAACCAACAGCTAAGGAATTATTGTTTCAATGTTCTTTTGATTCCGCAAGCCAGCCGTCAGTCGTAAATTGCCGCCGCTGCTGCTGCTGCTGCTGGTGTGTGCTGTTGGATTGCTGGCGTGCTATAGTTTTGCTTGTTTTCTGGAAGCATGCTTGGGGGTCGCTTCTGGCAAAGCCTTGTAGGCTTTGGTCGCAGCGTGTTCTGCTGCAGCTGTGCTGCTGGTTTGCTGCTGGGCTGCTGCTGTTGTGCTGCTGATGTGATGTGCTGCTTGTTTGCAGCTGTTTTGCAGCTGGTTTGCTGCTGTTCTGCTGCTGGTGTGCTGCTGGGCTACTACTGCTGCTGCTGCTGGGCTGCTGGTGTGTTGCTGGTTTGCTGCTGTTATGCTTGGCTTTTTTTCGCCGTGGCTAGCTTTCGGCCCTCCCCTTGGCCTTAAGTTTTCTCGAACCTGCAGATGTTTGTTGAGTGAGGGATGGCGTGGGGAGAAAATGGGAGAAAAGCATGGCCTTCAAGTTGAGTTTTCGATTCTGGGCAGCTTGTTGTCAGACTGTTCGCCTGTGGCCCAGGCAGACCTGCTTGAAGTCCGGGCTGGAAGGGCTGAGCTATCAAGAGGCTGGATGTGAGTGCACCCAAAGCTCCCGGAAATGATTTAGGGATACCGATATACAGGAAACCCACAATTTTTGAGGTGAACAAACGATGGTTTCCTGTAGGTTTTCTCTTTAGCATCCTTTAGCCAATTCATTGAAAAGCTGCAGGCACACGCGATCCGGAACCGCTTGCGCCTCCGCTTGAACGCCATCCGCGCGGATGCACTGGTCACCGGCAGCGGCTTGCATACTGCGGTGGCATCGCTAGGAGTGCCGGACTGGGCTGCCCTTCTTTCGAATCTATCCAGTGAGCTGTGTGTTTTCCTCTCCTTTACTGATATTTCCACGTGAAGACGAGTAGCAGTCCGGAGACATGAACAAACATACACATTACATACAGGTTCCTTGCATCCAAACACCTTTCACTAGCTCGTGACGGGTCGTAACCTCTTGGAACAGACCATCCGGGGACCCACCCAACATGAGACTCACACGGGTGGCTACTTCACCGTTCTTCTGGTGTTAGGCAGGTTGGTTGGGGGCCATAGCTTTTTTGTTGAATTCCTCCTGTTTTGCTTGTTGCATGGTTGCTCTCCGCTGAGGGTCTCAGCGTTCTTTCAGGTTAGACTTCCACAGGTCCACTCCTCTTCAGGTTTCTTTTCAGGGTGCGACGTGTGCGAGTGAGTCCGATCATGGTGATCTCAAGATTTTGTGTTGGGATACATCAATTATATAGATGAGAATGTTGAAATTCAAGAAATAACTATTCTTCAACCCCCCGATTGGGGTTGTCTAGCCATGGGGTGCGTTTCTTGGTGAAGGAACCATGCAAGCTGGTGTATTTGGTCAGTTCGGCTTATTGTATTGATGTACCTGTTCTGAGTCTATTTTGAGAGCCGCCAAGAGCGCCCCTAGACAAGGGGCGTAGGCGTAACAAAAGTAGCTTCTGAGTGATGAGTCCCAAGAACTGCACTGATTGATGTAACAAGTGCATCGCTACTAGAAGCTTCTTGCTACTAGTAGTAGTAGTAGTAGTGCTACTTGTAGCTGTTTGCTACTACAGTAGTAGTAATGCCCTTGTTACTAGTAGCGTTGCACTTGTTACATGTTGTTACTCTCATGGTTCATGTTTTCGTTTGTTTCACCTCAGGCTGTACGCAGCGCCAGGACTCACCAAGTACTCTGTGGAGGACATGAACGATTTCGTCAACCTACTTTCCGACTTCATCAATCTTAGGTTTGAAGAGGAGGACGGAGGGCGTTTTCTGCTGGAAGATTACAGTTTTTTGCAAGGCCGCATTGCTCCTATCCACAGCAATCATCTGACAAAGGTATTCGGTACATCAAGAAGTTGCATACAAATTGATATTGGAGGGCCTTCACCTGCCGTATCGGTGATTTATATATTTCCTCATTCATAGGTATATAATTTGACAAGCACCCATCCCAAAAGAACTAATTATGGAGGAATGCTCGAGGGTGTTGTATTAAACTGTGATGTTATTTTACAGAAGGGGTGCTCTTAGGGATGCATTTTTTGTGGAATATGCACAAAACAGTACAAAATACGACATATTTTGCATGTGCATGTGCCAAACCCCTAGTAAAATACGCATGTTTCATCACGTGCACCCATTGCCCACTTCAAAAATGATCAAAACACCTCAGACAATGCAAAGGTATCACCTGTATCTACTTGCCGCTGAAGAAAAACACACAATCCAAACTAACAAACATCAATAGTCCAAAAGTTGAGACTTTGCTGCCCCTCCCCAGAAGCTTATGCAATGTTGTTTATGTTTTGTCGGTGTTTTAATGTTTTGTTTGCTATTCCTGGATGCCCCCCCAAGACTGATTGAACATTGTGTTTGTTGTGTTTTTAAGATTGCTTTTGTGCCAGGCTGGGCACTCACAGACCTGCACTCCATAGAGAGTTCGAGCCCAGGTTTGAGGTTTGACTTCAAGCCTAAGTCTTGGGCTTGGATGTCTGCATTTTCACTCCCTATGTATTCCCATTGTTTTCTTGTTGACTTCCTTTTGATTCCAATTGATTTCCAACATGTACATTTTACTGTGTGCTTGAACCTGTGGCATAAATAAAACAAGAGAGAACATACGATGTTTTTGAGCATATTTGTAAGGCAAATTTTACAGCCCTACCAACGCTTGCTCTCTAATTGTAGGGCTCAATATGGGAAGAGTTGATGAGATTCTGTTGGGCGCCCTGGCCAGTGCAACCTGATTTGTTGGCCCTTAAGCGGCTTGTGTGGCGGCAAGTCCAGGGCCCGAGCCTTTCATGGAAGTATAGCAGGTGTTTCAACTTTTTTAGGTGAATTGATGAGTGAATCAAGTCCACACACTGGCACATTTCAACATGTTGTTGATCCTAAGACTCTTAAAGCAAACAGGAGGTGGCCACGGAGGAGGAAGATGCCTCATGGTTTGCAGGGCGGAGGTGGTTCCATCCAAAGGAAGAACAACACTCGGAACTCAGAATCCAAAGTTTTGATTTTTCCGAGTTTGCCAATGCCGAAGGTTTCAATTGCAAGAGAGGATGTCATGGCCCAGGCACTAGGCATCAATGTTCCAACGGTCCTCACAAATTGAACACTCGCTGCAACATATATTGGACTTATAGACTTATTGACAGATGAGATGTATGTGCACAAAATTCACGAGTTACATGCACGCATACTGTTAGATTGTTAGATGCTTATATTTCCTCAGAATGCTGAGGGGCTGTGCCAACGTTTTGAAATTTTGGGAGGAAGTGTGCTACAAATATTGGAGGGTGAACCGTTTTTGGAAAACATGTGTTTTTTTCAGCTAGGAACAGTGGCTCGTGCTGCAACTGTGCCAAAAAGAGACCGTTGTGCCACAGTTGCCTTAAGAGTCATACACTTGGATTTTTTTTCAACAAATAACAGGTATCAAATCAACACGGTAAAATTCACGTTGTGATGAAGACATGATACAGAGACCAGACTACTTCATTCTTTGGCAGGTTTGTGCCCGGCAAGCTGAAGAATCGCATGCTTTGTTTGTGCCTCTCAGGAAGAAGCCACAAACAGTTACACCTCAATTGCCGCTCTTTTCTCTGCTGCATGGCTGTTCTGGGTACTGCGGTGGGTTCAGATTCGGCAGATGTCGAGGGCCTTGGTCTTGGGAGGAGGGACTTGTGCTCAACCACATCAAGGGCTGTGCATGGTTTTCTTGATGATCACCGGGTGATGTCACCGGGCTTCATGATGATCAATCTCCTTCTTGTTACTAGTAAGGCACCTGTTACTAGTAGCGATGCACTTGTTCCGTTCGTAGCTTCATGTCAGAAGGTCGATTTTCTCGTTGTTTTTTGTGCTTGCTGAAGGGCCGGGCCTGGGCCAGGGCCACGGTAGGGCCGGTAGGCCAGTTCACGCCATCTTTCCCCAGGCAGCTAGGAAACTGCTTGAGGCACTTGTTAAAACATGTCCTCGGATTTGGTTGTTTGCTTGTGTACACGGTGGTTGCCAGATGTTCGTCGTGGGCCGTCCGAGCCGCTAAGGAGCAGCGAGGGAAGCGAGGACCGCATGCTAAATTGAAGGTCCTGAAGCCGGTTCTTTGGGTTGCAAGGCGGTCTAGGATTCGCTGCAACCAGACTTTGCGTGGTGCGTGGGTGAACTTGAAGGAAAGCAAGACTCCAGACTGTACCCTATGCTCAACTTCTTTACTTTTGAGATGAAGAAGGTCATCCCAGGTTTTGGATGGCAAGTCGGGTTGGGACGGCCACTCGGGGTGGTCGCAGCGCGGACCACTTTGATTCTGTCAGGGTCGTTGGCCAGTCATTGTGGACCTTGATGGTCGAGGATGGGGATGGTCAGTTGGGCCGATGAGATGAACTGAACATGCCCACAAGATGTGTTGAGGCCCAATGTTTTCGTTCAGAGTCCAGGAGTGAGAACTTGTTGATGCTGGACCCGGCACCTCATGTTAGCATACATCCTGAGGACCCAGAAACCAATGTATTTAGGGATTTAAAGTTGGAGTTAGATTCCATATTTGAGGTTCTTCTTGGCCCATATATGCGGGGTACTTGGTTTCTTGAACATGGATGTATACAGTATGTGAATTACTTGGTAGAAGATGGTCAATGTTAGAAACCTTGTTCGGGCTACAATATGTCCCTTTTTTGATCTTTTTTGTGTGAGTTTGTTGACATATGGACTGCGCAAAGCCTTCGAACAATATTCCATAGCCCTCCACCGACCAGAATGAGACATTTGTTCATGGAACATCCCAGGGAAAATGGTACCATCCGAAGGGTAACATGTTAATGTAATCTTTCATGTAGCAAGCTCGTGCTGGCAAGCTTGGTCGGAGGTTGGCAACAATTTAACAACTTGTTGATATTTGTTGACTTTGTTTTGGCGGGTGTTCCTTTACAAGCGGGCAGAATGTATTTGAACACCTTCTCCCCATCAAATAAGGATTGATTGTTCCCCAAACATTTTACTGTTGGAGTTCTATCTTAGAAAAAGAGCTGGCCACACGCACTGGCCGCGCCCCTGAACTCTGTGGCCGGGCTTTGTGGCCGAGTCTTGTCCTCCTCTTGTCCTGCTTTTGTCCTCTGGCCGTTGTCCTTCGCTGTGTCCCTGTGTCCTGCCTGGCCGCGCCATGGGCCGGGCTTGTCCGGGTCTGTCCTGCTTGTCGGCGTTGTCGATTTGCATCACCCCGCTTTGTCCTGGCCTTCTCCACCGTTTTGACCGGGTATGTTTTCGTGTGGTCGTGACTGGGGCAGTGAGGCAGCGCTTGATATCATCCGCGGTTTTCACATGACAAATACAGAATATGTATCGCTCGTACTTACACATGTGACAACCGCAGGAATCGGGAACTTACACGGCATTCCCAATACAGACGTTACCTCAGACATTGGAACCCAAGGAGTTGACACCCAAAGAATCTCGCTGAAACTGTTTGGGGCCTATGCTGACAAAACGATGTTTCCATGCTAGCCGCTAGCCGGTAGGAATGCAACATCATCCGTTTCTGCGTGTGGCGTTGAAAGGTTTGGTCGTGGCCCACCACGGACGAAGCGAAGCAAAGTGCGGCTGTGTCCTTACGACGCCCCTGGGCCATCAATCCTTGGCACGTTTGTTGTGAGAAACACGTGTGCCGAGATGATCAAGAGGTGCATGTCTAGAGGGGTATTTAGTGCATGCATCCGCTGGGCTACTGTGCGCATCTGTTGGTGGAACCCAGCATTACTTGGATACTTTGTTCGACATGAAGTTGAAAGGATGTCAGGGCAAACATGGGCAAACATGAATCAATGAACGTGGTCCACTTGCCACGTAAAGCACTCGAACTTGCATTCATATGTTAAAACTGAACGGATAATGAAAGAGTACTGTCCCCTCGCTGAGGGTCAAGAAATGCTTGTCACCTCCGGTTGTCAAAATTGGCAATGAAGCAGCACACCAGACACAGGAAACATTATTTTTTGGGGGGGCAGAAAGCCTTTGTAGGGTAGGAGGATGTAGGAGGTCACTTTGGACAATCCTTCCAGACACGGTCTTTGAGACATCCCACCAAATTTGGAACTCTTTGTATTTTTGAAGACTCTACGCAAATACTATCAAATACTTATACTATCTTATACATACTGTATTTAAGACCACACTTACATGACGTGCACTCTTCTGAGGAGAGCAATCATCCGCCAGTTGTTTTGGTTTCATGGATTTTCATCCCATGTCACGAAAGCTAGCGAAGCTAGCTGGAGTTACTCTTGCGATAGCAAGGTTTCTTTCGATCGGGTGCAAATCCTAACCCCTGATTTTTCAGGTCGAAGCCCCCCCCCCCCCCCCCCCCTCACTCTCACTCTCACACTCTCACTGTCTCTCTCTCTCTCTCTCATCTCTCTCTCTCTCTCTCATCTCTCTCATCTCTCTCATCTCTCCCTCATCTCTTTCTCATCTCTCTCTCATCTCTCTCTCCTCTCTCTCTCTCTC